CTTGGTGCTCTGATTGGCTGGGCTGAGTCGGCAGAGCGCACCCCTGGAACCAGGGAGCTGAGGCCAATTCCCCCGACCCCCCAATCATAAAGATATCCCCAGAGGAAAGTCAAGACGCTCCTACCAAAGAGAACAAAGGGAATGGACACTGGGCAGCAAACTCGGCCGAGCACAGCGGGCACTGGGCAGGGGGTGGCACAGGCTGGGCTCTTCACTCCAAGCCCTCCTGCTCCCGGGACCACCTTCCGTCTCAGGCTCTTACACCCAGGTACCAGGCTCCCAGCCTCCCCATGGGAGCTTCCCCAAATGAAAGCTGGGGTTCCCAAAGAGAGCTTGGGGCTCCCTCCATGCTGCCCCCACCTGCTCTGGCCCAGACTCCAGGCTGTGACACCCCCAGCCCTGCCAGAGGCCTGGGTGTCCAGCCGTGACCTGGAGGCCCAGTGCGCACACCTGGCCCCCGAGGGCCAGCAGCCCCGCCAGCACCCCCAGCAGCCGCCGATGCTCACGGGCCTCCCAGCCGGCCGAGCCCCGGGGAGCCGAGGGCAGCACGTGTCAGGGTCAGTGCTGCCGTTCCCTGACATATTTTTAACTCCCGGACGAAAGAATTCAATCCGGCTTGTCAGCTGCTCCCCACGGACCTGGGAATCCAGCCGGAGTCCCCACGTCACACTTCCTGCAGCAGCCGGGGGGGTCAGGAGTTCACGCGGAGCCGCTGCCCTGGGAGCGGGGTCCGACAAGCCCACATCCTCCCGCCTCCCGCCTGCCTCCCGCCACTGTGGGGAGGGAGAGACCAATGAGGCGAATGGAGCGGCTGGAGGGGGGACATGAAGCAGAAATGCTCCCGGGTCCCAAGCTCAGACTCTCGCTTACCCTGCCTCGGTTTACCCACTGGAGAAATGGGGCTGCCAGGGATCGGTTCAGGGCGGCGAGCCTGTCTTTGCTAGAGGAGGAGTTCCCCACCCAGACTCCGCAGGTCCAGCCGCAGCCCGGCAGCAAGCCAACCCTTTCTGTAGGGAACCTTCTAGACTCCCCACCTTCGGAGAGAGAACAGCGGAGGAGCCGAGCTTGGATCTTCAGTTCTCGGTCTACACTGCGCCCTGAGTGAAGCGAACACGTGGGGGACGGAGCCACCAGCAGGAGGCTCCCGGGTCCCCTAGGCCTCTCGGGGGGCCGGGGGCTGCAGAAACAGGACAGCCGCAGGGTCCCCGGAACCCTGGGAGCACAGAGGTAAATGCCCCTCCCCACCTCCTCTCGGACTCCCCACCCCCTGGCCGCTCATGTGGCTATAAACGTCGCTATAAAGGCAACAGAAACAGAGCGATGGGAGGTGGCCAAGTTTGGGGAAGGGGGTGAAGAGAACAAAATATATAACCGGTCAGAAAAGGCAAGAGAGAGGCGGCTCCTGGCCGTTAGTCTAGAACTCAAAAGTTATGCATTGGGAGCCCAGCCGGCCTGGCTCCGTGGTTGAGCATCGACCTATGAACCAGGAGTCACGGTTCGATTCCCAGTCAGGGCACATGTCCGGGTTGTGGGCTGGATCCCAGGTGTGGGGCGTGCAGGAGGCAGCCGATCAATGATTCTCTCTCATCATTGATGTTTCTCTCCCTCTCCCGTCCTCTCTGAAATCAATAAAAATATATTGTTTTAAAAGAAAATATTGCAAAGCTCCCCTTTTTTAAAAAAAGTTATTCATTGGGGGGAGGGAGGGACAAAAACAGTAGAAAATTAAAAGAAGAAAAAAACTGGCTAAAGCACCTACGCATGAGGCTGGGGAGCAGACAGCTGAATACAAAACACAGACCCTCTGGGCGAGACGGACTGAAGGCCTGTGTGGAAGGCGCTTCAGGAGAACAAATCGCACCAAACCCGCTCAGGGGGGTCAGGGCCAGTCCTGGCAATTGTGTGAGACCGTTTCGGTCGCCAGTGGCCGCGGCCCAATCCAAACTGGCTCAAGCCAACCACAGGGGGAATTTTTGGCTCCCTCATCTAACAAGGTCAGGGGCTCCAGCTTCAGGCACAGTTGGATCCAGGCTCAGTCAGTATGAGGAGGCATCAGCCACCTCCTCTCACCTCTCGGCCCTGCCTCCCCTGCGCCAGCTTCATTGCGAGGTGCCACCTGGCACCCCTGGAGGCTGCGGGTCTACGGTCTCCGTACTGACACTCACAGGGGAAAGGCCCTCTGGCTGGAGTCAGTCTGTGTCAGATCCCGCGGCCAGCGGAGAGAGCTGACCGGGTGCTCAGGACAGGGTCTCAGGTACGT